TTTAATTTCTCACTCCCTCTCTCTCTCTTTCATTTCTCTCTCTATCTTTCATTTCTCTCTCTTCTCTCTTTTATTTTTCTCTCTCTCCCTTTTATTTCTCTTTATTTCTTTTTCCTCTCTCTCTCTTTTTTCTCATTTTCTCTATTTTTTTTTACCCTTTCTTTCTCTTCTTTCCTTTCTCGTTTCTACTTTTTTGTCTCTTTCTCTAGTTTTCTTTTTCTTTCTCTAGTTTTCTCTCTTTTTCTCGTTTTCTTTCTCTCTCGTTTTCTTTCTTTCTCTCTCTCTTTCCTTTCTTTCTCTCTTCTCTCCTTTCTTTCTCTCTCTCTCTCGTTTTCTTTCTTTCTCTCTCTCGTTTTCTTTCTTTCTCTCTCTCTCTCTTTTGCTTTCTCTTGTTTTCTCGTCTTCTCTCTTTCTCTCGTTTCCTCTCTCTCTCTCGTGTGCGCTCTCTCTCTCTCTCTCTCTCTCTCTCTCTCTCTCTCTCTCTCTCTCTCTCTCTCTCTCTCTCTCTCTCTCTCTCTCTCTCTCTCTCTCCCTCTCCCTCTCTTTACCTTTGGTCTCTGCTTCTGCGCTCACAAACATACTCCCCTTTGTAAAGAATATTGCCACTAAGCTTTATGCCACTGTTGCAAAGTCAATATTCGCAGGAATATCACCAAGAAATAATGGTTGTGAATCGTTGTAAATTATTCATCTGTTCACTCTTTCGCTTTAATCCATTCCTTTGCATTGCCTTGCATGCTTCTTTGTTGTACCGCCGGCTAGGTTTCCTGTGCATATTTTATAACGTACGTTGTTAGCGTAGTTAAGGTTTTGCCAGTTTTTGTGATATTTTGTTTATTTTCATTTGTATTTGTTTTTGCACTTCCCTGTGTATATTTCAGTTCAGTGATGCTGTCTGTCCATCCACGTCTCTTTCGTGTGTCAGTATTCTAAAAGTTCATAATTGAATTTATGGGGAGTTAAATCTTTTACTGTCAGATCGGAGCCTGCAATACGTCACTGAGGGCGCCCCGGCTATCGCTTTTCACTCTCCCGAACGTTTTGAGCTTCTTTCGTTCCCAATCGATCGCCCTTTCCTTGCTCAACTTATCGCCAGCGCCACCCAGCGCCACGGCCCCTCCCCCGCCCTATGGCACATCCTCATTAGAGGTCGGTGACCCCACCCAGGTTGTGACGTCACTACTGTGTCGCGGCACAGTGCCAGGCTGGCCTAGGGATTTTAAGGGTGGCTGGCGGTTGCTTTGTGCTACGTCGGTCCTGAAATTTTAACAATCTGTCCTTTTACGTTTCCCAGTGCCTTGCCACGATTTCTTTATGAGTATGCGGGCGGTTATATTTCTTTCCCTTTTGCTATTTATTTTTCTTCCTAGTCGCCAGTTATGACTCTTTTACCCAAAACCTTCCTGCCTCGGCATCGCTCTCCCAGTTTAAGGAGTAGTTCTCTTCTATTGTTACATCCTCGACGTCAAGAGTGCACCGTCATCGACATGGAGGATCTATGAAACATCTGCTACGCGCAGCATCCTCTCGAGAATTCCGCTCCTTCTGAAGAGGATCGGGCGCAATCGTGGCCTCGGCTCTACAAATCGAACCCCCGTTGATTTGCTCCTTATGTCAGTGTCATCGTTTCATCTCTCATGTCAAGGGAAACGACTCGGGCACGATGCGGCATCATTAATAGCATATTACTTGTACCGTGATGTGAGGCATATTACAAATCAAATATTTAGCTGAACGAATACTTCGCAGTTCTGTTCCTGAAGGGTCTGACATTTCGATGGGCCTACGTAGGCATCCGCGCAGGTTTAAGCGTTGCAAGTAATTCTATACCTATCGGCAAGGGTCCGGAGTGGCGCTATTCGCGTACGAGGGAAATGCCATTATGGCTTCCGCGTCCTGCATCCAGCTCCATAGCCCCTCCCGCCGGCGACGAGGGAGACTGGGCTCACAGGAATGCTTATTGGATCAACAGTGTTATGTTCCTCCCCTGGGTGACTTATGCCTCTTCCGCCCCACACAGGTACAGTATGGTGTGCTCCGAGCCTCTTAGGAAACCGTAGTCCCGTTTGTTGCTGTTAGAATAAAGGAAACTCAAGATTGTAAATTATCTACCCATTCAACAATCTCACGAAACAACCACAGTTATCAATAAGACTTGTTTCATAATTGCGACGTTTAAAAATGCGCGGAGCCCCTCGTCACACACCTGCCTCCACACACCACTGCCTCTCCTCGCCACATCTCAGCTACATCCTCCACAACGCACATCCTCGCCACGGAGCATCGCCTAGGTCCGCCAACTTACTCATGGACAGATGGAACTCCTAATACCTCATAAAAAACTCTTACCTCATAACGCACCGGCGTGGCTGAGGTGACACATACCCATTACCACATACGTAGCGAACGTGCCAGCGCATGGCCCAGCCTTCATCAGCAGGATCGTCATGTTTGTGCTTGGCATGAGAGGCCGAGGAGGTTTCCAAAGCAGCTTACAATTATTCGGCTCCTGCATGGCCGACATGACCCAGCTATCCAGGAATGCGTCTGGAGTGCAGGGGGCGAAAGACAGGCAGGGATATATATATATATAGAGAGAGATAGGGATGGAGATATAGATATACGGAGATATGGAAATATAAAGATATGGAGATAGAAATAGATAGATAAATATATACACACATACATACGCACACACACATATATACACAGGGGAGGGAGAGAGAGAGAGAAGAGAAGAGAAGAAGCGAGAGAGGGGGGGGAGAGAAAGGAGATTGGGAGAGGAGGGGTGAGGGAGAGAGTAGAAGGTGAGACGAGAGAGGAGAAGGTGAGACGAGGAGAAAGTGACACGAGAGAGGAGAGAGGAGGCGGAGGAGAGGGAGAGAGGAGAGAAGGAAAGGGAAAGTGAGTGAGAGAGAGCGATAGATGGAAGAGAGAGAGAGAGAAGGAAAGGGAAAGTGAGTGAGAGAGAGAGAGAAAGAGAGAAAGAGAGAGAGACAGAGAGACAGAGAGACAGAGAGACAGAGACAGACAGACAGACAGAGACAGAGACCAGACAGACAGGGCAGCCCAGACACAGACCCCACACGCATCGAGCCAAAGCGACGGCGATCCCAGCAGGCGGGAAATTCGCGAGCAGTCTTGCCAACACGGGCTTACCCCTCGGAGACGTGGCGGCGCCCCGTACTCACTCACATCTCACGCAGGCCCTATTGATCGGTCTGGCAACACTCGTTTTGGGTCTGATTGGCCATAAGCCTTCGGTCCAAGTGAAGGATTGTGTGTCTAGCCCGTGAAAGGGGAGCTTTGGATCGCAGTGGCCATTTGTGACGTCATGGGAAGAATTATGGGAGTAAACAAGATTTCTTTTTCTCTGAATGACGGAATTTACAGAAATAGTGTTCCTCTTGCTCTTTCTTTTCTTAAGTAAATGTCCTGGTATCAGATCGTATGTACCAATTTTCAGCAATATAATCACCAGTTATCACTTTCTCTAAAATTCAACAAATCATTAAAAGAAAACACGAATAACGAATCAGCCGCCCCGTCGAACCGTCGACTATGCAAACAAATGACAATCGGATCCTTCAAATCATCGCGTTCTGATGACAGCCTGCCTTTTGTTGCTCTTCTGGTTAGCAACACACGCAGCAGCAGCCTTGCAATCCCGCCCCTGTATTGGCTGACGTTATGTGTTAAGCCGAGCGTCGACTTGAGGCGTGATGGCGCAAGCGAGGCGATCATGAGCGGGAGAAAACACGGCCTCAAAACACACGTTTATTACACTCGCTCTTGCTCCCCGTGAAGGCGACATGCACGGTTTCTCCCTTTATTACGTTGACATGCTGCCTCTGGATGTTTTTATTGTTAACAGCTCGTCTCCACATATGACAAAACGACATTATCTCCACATCACTTCTAGCATACAATTATTTCAAATTATATTAATTAGTCAATTATAATTTTTGCTTGGCCATTCACCCCACTTCCATCTCTCTCATCACGATTCCTTGCGCATACGATCCATTTTTATCAATATTCTGTGCAAGTTCTTTTATTGCCCCCATTTATGTGCCGTTCTCCAATCCCGCAACTTCACCTCCTTAAATGCAAAACGTTCATCCTTTTCTCAACCTCGGAAACTCCTGTTCAAACATTAATTGCATCCGAAGTGGCCCCCGCCCCGTTCAATAAAGGCATCTCTTGTTAGACTTTTGTTTCTAAATGATACATTAAACTGCGCGCCGTCGCTTCACACGCTCGCGGACTGCTAACTATTCAGATTCCTATTTGTCTTTGGTTTTATTTTTCGAGGTTCTTTCTTCGCCGCATCCGCCCTCCGCCGCAGCCTCCCTCCGGCGCATTTTATTCGTGTCTTTCTTTTCTTCAATCATCTTCCGTCTTGAACTACTTTTCTTTCAAATCTCCTTTGTTATTGTAATTATGTTTTTTCTTCTCTCTTCCGGCTTACGATTCCCCCTTTTCTCTGCCTTTTAATCACCTCGTTCTCACTCGTTTTTTTCTCTCTCAATATTTTTTACCCTATTTCCCCTTTCGCTCTGTTTACTCTGGCGCGCGTGTGTACTCTTCCCTTTTCATACCGTTTCCCCTCGAGGCCATTTCGAATTATGGATTTCATTTTTATTATCTGCTCTTCTCACTTCCTCATCTCCGCCCTCCCTCTCCCTATTCATTTTACAGAGTCCCTTATACCTGCCCTTCATTCCACTTATACAGTCATTTATCCCTGCTCTTCGTTAATATTATACAATCCCTTAACCCTTATGCTCACAATGTTCCCTGTATCTAGCCTCATCCACCCTACACAGTTCCCTATCCACCTTATACAGCCCCCTATCCTATACCCTCTTCCACTTTACACAGTTTTCTATCCCTGCTCTCCGTACATTCCATCCATGCTCTTATTCACCTTTTGTAATCCCCTGTTCATCTGTTCCTCGCACGCACTAAAGCAACTGCAGATCTGTTGGCTACGTTACCACGTCACAGGAAGATGCTGCGGGTCGTCTGGTCACATAC